ACCTCATCGCGCGTGGAATCACTGAATCAGATATGGAGCTGGAGGATGGATCTCCGTGATTGTATTTCCTGCATAGTCTTACTTCATTTCTTTTTCCTTAACACTTATTGGACATCGTGCATTTATTGTTGTGCAAAATTGGCGGCGTAGGGCTTGTTATTGTCAGAAATAGTTGTACTTATTGTGACTATATGAATTGCAAATGTCTGATTGCTGGGGTACTTCGGCTCTGAGGACTACCGATCCGTTGCGTGGATTAGAAGTCAAAACTTTGACTTATAATTAAGAAAAAAGCTCATTACAAGTAAGAGTGCGTACTCAGAGTTACACATCTAGTTAGCGCTCACTTCCTATGCTTGGATTTGGTAATGAGTTTAATGTTGGGGAATAGTGAGGAGCGGTTTTTAGTACTGCCATTTAATTTGTCCCTCGTTTCACTATGGGTTTTGATGGCTTATTTAGGGCTATTGTAGATGGCATCCCGGCGCTGTGGTCTGGTTTTTGAGTTATTAGGCGTGTTAGTACATAAGCTTGCTGAGCATCTTGGCTTTGCGGCTTTGAGGAAGACTGGGGGTTCAGCATTGAGGATAAGGGTATGGTTACGGTCTGTCTACCTTCTAGTCCCTGATTCTCAGACTTTAAGAGGAAGTTGGTTGTAGACGATTTATTAGGTATCGCTGTTAGGAAGGACGGGGAATAGGATACAGGTGAGGTGAGGAAGAGATATCAGTCAGACGGAGGGTCCTCGCTGACTTCACGCACGTGATCCACGTTCCCAATGCCTCCCCGCCTCTCACCTATAAAAGCCCACTTAAACAAACTAGAATATATTACAAAGGGGAAGTGGCCTCCAACATTATTGCAATGGAGGCAGTTCATAGGTATCAAATGATGGAAAGATTGGCAACCTACTATTCTAGCTGCTCGTTTTGCACGAATGCCATCTCAAATTGTGGTGGCTCCGAACGTGAAACATAAAAATGGGCGATGCGGGTCCGTCAAGTTTTTGCACCTTTGTAACTACAACACCGAACATTGTGCTTTCTTAAATGGCTCTGCTTTTGGGTCACTGCTTACGCTGCTAGTGATAGACAACTGCGATGGTTGGCGCATCCAATTTTTCACAAACTCAACTTCAGAACGAGTCCAAAACTTAATTTTTCACCGTGTCCTTGTTGTAAGTGACGTCTGATGGGTGCTTTTCTTACCATCAGTCACATTGTGGTGCGTAATGCAAAAAGGGAACGTGATACATTGTTTTTTAATGTGAGCCCTACCGCTTCCTCCTTCCTCATATTCGATACTCGGAGCATGGCTATAGCTTTAGTCCGCACTGCACCCGATGATGCACATTCTGCTCAAGTGTCATTCATTGTTTTGTTTTTAATTTAACCCAGCCTGCCAGTAAGTCTAATGACTTTTGTGCGTTGACTGTATATTATCGGCATGATTATTGTCCTATTTAACGCAAAATGGAAATGCCAAAGCACTGCGTTAATGGAATTAAAAAAGCAAATCCATTTTCAACGGCCGTAGGTCCTGATATTTACAGCTGGATTAGACCTTTGTTGAACAGGAGAGGAGCATTGCTGAGAAAACTATCTGGCAAATCCTTAGCAAGAACAAAGTTGCAAGGAAGAATGCAAAGCCAACTTCTGCCCTTCTAACATCAGTCCTCTATTAGACCTCCACTGGACCCAAAAACTAAGATGTGCATTCCCCAAACCAGGTTCCATTCACTAAGATTTGCAGCATAAACCTAAACTTGAATCTTAAATCTTTAGAAAATAAACCTTTGGGTCCATCGACTTTTCATCAAAGGTGGTGCATTAATTGAAGCTATTTTTGCTTACATTGAATTGGTTAAAGAAGCGAAATGGGAGAAAGCGGTTGTGAGCCATCATTGGTCGATTGTTGTGTGTCTATTTTCTACCCCCGAGATCTAATGCTAGCGTCTCTGTAGTCCATGTTGATTTATTTTCAAGTCAGCCTGATTTTTTTAAGCATCACAGGTTTGTCCTCTTCAAATAAATATTTTTTTCAGAAACATGCAATTCAGAAATATGTGCTAATGCTAACGATGTTTCACGATGCCATAAGAAAACGCTGGCATTCGAAGCTATTGCTGATTTGCATAGCCAATTGGACGGAGATAGTAGCGGTGGTGTTGACTTCTCCGAGGCATTGCTTGTAAGCTTGAACAAAGCACACATTTACGCATAGTATAAGGCTCCTTTGTGTTCATCGTCAATTCTCAGACAAAATATTGCTGTATAGGGTGTGTTGAGTGCTTGCTATCTTCATTTAACTGTAGCAGGGCTGTTTCTTCCGAGTTTACACCTTTTTGTCCCCTAAACTTGGGAAGTGCAAGGTTCTTTGTGCTTTTCCATGCTTCAATCGTTGTTTTTTCCCGATGCTACAATTCAGTTTGATAAACCTTTATTTGTACGTAATTTTAAAGGAGGCACTTGTCCAGAAGTTGAAAGCATTCATTTGATCTTGCCTTATTCCCAAACAAGTAAGTGAATTCTTGACATCTGTAATGTCGGTGAAGCATAATTTTATCATTATTGGGAGATTTGGGCTCGTAGACATCCTGACTTCACTCTAGAAATTTCGACTCATTCATATCATACAGAGAGCACGTTTTTTGACTTTCGTACCGTGGCTAATTAAATATATCTGCGCTATGATTTGTGAAGTTTCCAATCCGCGGCGTTACTGCAACGATCCTCTGTTAACTTGATAATGGCACTTTGTGGCCATTCGTATTCGTGTTCTCTAAGCTTGTATGGGCTGGTTTTTGCCACAGAGTCGAACATATGAAGCTATGAAAACCAGGTTCTTCATTTGTTAAAAGTAGTGGCCTTGCTCTTTTGATTTCTGGTAACCCAAGTTTTTTGTATCCATCTAATGTAACACCCCTCAGATTTGATTTAACTATAGCTTATAGTCAATTACTTTTTTTTTCTAGTTTCTGGGAGACAAACTTAGCTACCCAGTAGATCAGTTCAACCAAAAAGATCTCAGTCAAGAGGATGGTATCATAAGTCTTCTTGACCTATGGGTAGCCTGGCGCAAGAATCCCGGTATGTGAACTCATAACGAACATCAATTTGTTTTTAACGGACTTCGACACTCGTGGTGGGAATTTTTTGATTGTATTTTCGAATTTGCGCATGTATGGTACTCCATCTCCTTAGTGTTGAGTGGTGTGTTGGCAATGTCCAGTCGTAGTTCTTATTGTTATTTTTTTGCTCTCAATTTAATTTTGGGTTTTAATAAATTATCCGGATCATCTTATCACATTTACTCTACCTTTACAATTCCTTGTCCTTACGCTAGCGCATAATTGGACCGTTGCGGAGACAGTGCGATGGGTATCAGAGTATGTAGAGCTCCCCGAATACGGCGACCTTTTCTTGCAGTACAAGGTGGATGGCGAATCCATACCCCGGTAAGGTCATCACCCAATATTCTAGCATCTAGCTCATTTCATGTGCTTCTCTGTCGTATTCTTTTCGATCTCCCTTTCATATTCAAGGCAGAGGATGCTAGACTGCTAGCCATTTGCGCCTCTACTACTTTTCCCTTACTTTGCTATCCGTCCTACCATTTCATTTGACTGTTTTCTCATTCTATTTAAGCATTTCCAAATTGGAGCCTGTTCTTCATCCAAGCCAAAGTTCTCTTTTCTCACTTTTGGGAGGCTTTCCTTCCTAAAATATCATTTAGCTTTGCCTTTTTTAATGCACCAAATTTATACCTTGCTTTTAGTTCCCGATTTTAACATCATAATTGGTAAGAAACTACTCAATTTCATTATTTTCCGTTCAACTGAGTGCGTGTTCTCGTTTATATTTATCGTGAATTTGAGATGCCCCACACTGGTGAAGTTGGAACTGAATGCTTTTAAGTCATTGTGTTCTTTGCTCTCATCTCTGATTATTGTTTTTTGTAGTGGTCTTTTAGAGCTGTGGATAAGCGATCCCTTAGGTTTTGCTTGCGTTGCGATATCAACAAGCAAGTTTACTAATTTTCTGAAGTGTTCCACCTGCCTAAAGACGCTTAAATGCTTCCTAAAGGACAATTGCAGTATTTGAAAATCCTTTTCGTTTTTACCTCCAAGCTAATGATTTGTGCATATTGAAATTTTTCGTCCATGCTCATCGAAACTGTTGCTTTTTCATTTACCTTTCCTTTGAAAGAGAATTGCTTGGTATTACCGATGATGCACGAACATGTTTGTAATCAATTTTTATGCAATGCATTTCCTCTTTACCACATTCCCGCAGATTCCCCTAGAAATCACTTCACAAGAGGAGGTACTTGAAATATACAGCTCTACGCTTCTCTGCTTCTTTTCCATGGGTTTATGGAGGTTTTGCTCTTTTGCAGGAAGCTTTTTTCCAAGCTTTTCCTTCTGTTTCGCACTGATAACCATGGAATTTTTTCTTTTGACTGTTATTTTATCGCTTTTGCATGCTTTCGCTTATAGTCTTGTTTCTCGCAATATGAAGTTTCTTACCGATGAGCTTGGAATCAAGAACTCACTTCATCGCAGAAAACTATCTCTTAAAGCCATGGATCTCATTCTTTTTGGTCCCCCTAAAAGTACGTCTCCATTTTTTATGCTTTATGTTCCACCTTTAATAATGCCTTTTTTTCCATCGCCGTCCACTCAGATATGCAACTGAACTTTAACAATAAGAGTTTGTCATTTTCAAATGACATTTTTAGCTATAAATACTGAGCTGGTTCAATTTTCTAAGATGATTTTCATTGGCTCTGTGAAGTTTTCAAGGCCACGTTTGATTCGCCCAGACCTACCACAGATTTTTTTAAAACGGATCATTCATTGTGCTAATTGGGGTCAATTGTGGTTCTTTTTCACTACCCTTCCCTCTCGCCCTCCCTCTTCCAATTCACACCTGTGCACGAACGTAATTGTGGTATTTTCCCATTTACCACGGTGCACTTGTGTTCCGTCTAGGCCTCCCTCGACGTATCGCTTGCGCGCACACTTGCCTTAATGTATACTTTATTCGCTATTCTTAAGCGTTCAAAGTCCGTATAGAAGAGTGTGCCATCGCGAAACTCGTTCACTTTATGCCTGCACTCCTGGCGAGCGTCGTGCTCTCCTCCTCTTCCTTCTTCTCACTCTAATTCAACGTTTTGCCATCCTCCAATGCTAGAAAATCTCTCCACCGTGGCTGCAGCAAGTAGTCTCCTTGTTCACCTCAGCAAGGATATGCCCCTTGTCTCCACACTGGTTGTCGCAATCGCATTTATTATCACCCTAATAGGACTCAATCACCACTACACCCAACGTCTGCGTAGCGCTACCTCCAGCAACTATGACAGGCTCTCTCGGGCTGAACAAACACTTCAGGAATTGCAGCAGGAGTGAGTCTCTTGTTCGCTTCTTCATTTCTCATTTTTGTAATTAATATTAAACATTTTTGATATAAGGCGGGATCGGCTTTTAATCTTTTACCACAGTTTTTTTTTTACAGATTACTGGACTTGAAGGAGGCTGAATCTTCTGTATGCACTAACAGCAGGACGGCTATGAGTCGTTCGGCTCAAATGGATGATGAAGCTCTCTTCCACCACTCTGATTCGGGTCGTAGCTCGGAGCAAATGGTATGCAATTTTCGCATTTATTCTTTTCAATTTGTCATTTTTTTCTCCTAACCTTGGGCATTATCTGCTCTTAAGTCCGTTCTCTCGGCTAAGCATAGCAGAACAGAGCCGCCAACACGCAAGCCCAGCGAATCGTCCTTTTTCCCAAGAAGAACTATGGCAGAATCCCAAATCGGTAGTGGGCAATGGTCAGCTGCACCAGTACTACCTGCACACGCTTCATTCTACATTGGTGGGTCGGAGCGAATTTCGGCTGCGTCGGTAGCTGCCGCAGCCGCCGCTGCTGCTCTTGCCGCTAAGCGTCCCATCGAGGGACCCGCAACAGAACTAGCTCTCCTTCTCCAAATGACTCATGAATTGGAATTGAGGCATTACTGGGAGAAGCGTTCTGCTGCTGCCAAACAGCTTATGGCTGCCAAGGAGGCTGTAAGCTCTTCTCCTTTGTGTGGTGGATGTGTTTGGGTTGTTTTTTGACGTTCTCAACACTAAAGTTTGTATTACTTGTGACACCTTCCTGATTGCAATTCCATGTGTCATTGCTATAGTGTGATCGCGTGCGAAGGAAACGTTCCTCGCTTGTGGGTTCGGTCCGGCTTATACATTCGGACAATTTGGATGATGTCGATTCAAAATTGAACGCCGCTCGGTATGCTAATAACCTCATGCAAATTAGGACGAACTGAATACCTCTCCTCTCAATTGTGCAATCTCCCCATTACCCTGTAATTAATGTGTTAGCATTAGGTACAATTTAACTCCACGAACTAGGTGTCTGATACTCAAAAGGTTAGATTTTATTTGTCCACCAAGCTGAAAAATTATTTTCACTCTTTTAGACGGGTTCTAGAAAACGTTACAGCAGACATGCAGGAACGAAAGTATCGCTGGAGTCGAATTGAGGATTTAACAGGTCTCATTTTGCAGCAACCTGCAGACATCAATGCACTGCTGACTGCTCTGGGTTACGACAAATCCAGATGCTGTCCCGGAGGTGAAAGCAATAATAATGGCATTCGACTCTTCGATCTTTCTACCGACTTCTCGCTCTTTACTGGCGAAGATTTCGTGGACGACCAACCAAGCTCGTGTACTCGTCCGACCGATGATGGATGCAATAGGGTCACTAATGACTGGCAAAGCAAGAACACACTCCAGGACCTGCCATCGAAACTTCGCTCAGATACATCTTCTACCAACGGTAAGTTGGGAACTACAGCTTCATATCCGTTTGTGACATCCTCACCGCTCACACCCACCCCATCACATTACAGACTTTCTGTATTCCCATTCCGACATCAAAAATGAGCTCAGCACCGCGACGGAGAGTACCGCGGGACTACTAATGCAGTCATCCCTGCCAAGAAATTACTCTTTTGTTCGACCGTTTGCAGCCCTATGGCGTCGTAAAGTCAAGTCTCACCAAGCACCCGGCTGTTGCAGCTCACCACAGAGCGTCACCCCAACTAAACCACAATTCAGCTTGGATCCAGTACCCGGAATCCTGAATTACGACGGTTACCACAGAAACACCTCTCTATCTTGAATAATCTCACGTGCATTTTTATCTCGAGCGCAGGCCGCTGTGTTGTGAATTGGCTCACCATCCTACTTATCTGCAACCATGATTTCAAAATATATTATCAGTGTCTTAACGATTTGGTTCCTAAACATCCGTCGGGAGTGCATACAATTACACCACCATAGACAGGAACAAAAAGGATCAGCACAAATAATTTTACTGAAGTTAGCTTAACCGCCGACTATAATACTATTAAGGGGCACAAACACAAGTTTGATGATAAAACCGAGGACACCCATGGCTAGAAATCCAACAGCTGTGGCGATAGCATTCTTCTTGAATTCTATAATTACTCAATAAGTACCAAACTCAGAAGTTACCCTTCCGATCGGGTTTTGTGCATCGATGGAAAAAGTGGACGGAAGCCTTCGCAAATTGGATGAGAGGATCAGTGACAGCAGACACCTGGTCCATTCCAGCCTGTCAACAAACGAAGCAAGATTGTGTTATAACTGGTACAGACAAACAAATAGTACATTGACACAACATTTTCACCAACACAACTCACTAAAATCGAATATGAAATTAAGCATTTAACGAAGTTGTGATACAAACACTTAATCAAAGTTATACATAATAGGCTAAGATTTTAAAAAATTCAATGCTGGTGTTGTTTCATTATGGAGAAAATGCAAAAATTAACTTTTCCAATTTAAAACAAAAAAATTCTCGAAGAATACATTGAGGGGAAACCTTAGACTATTACAGTGGAGTCCATAGGCTTTTACTTGCTTAAGGATAGCACCAATGCGAGAACAATATTTGCACTCAGGTGAAATTAGTAGACAGGACACGCATCTAGTTTGGTAAGTCAGCTCCTGCGAGCCTCTCGATCAAGAGCTACCACGAGTCTATAAGGTTTGGAATTGACGCCCCCAGCAGCTCTAAATAGGTATAAAATTAACAATAAATAAAAACAAGATTCAAGTGTAATTTTTGTTGCAGCGTCCTGAGGCTACCCACCAAGAAGAAGAGGATTCAGCGTCCCGAGAATTTCCACCTTGCGCAAGAAGGCAATAATTGAGGCTGGGTATATGAACTCGGGAGGAAACAGAACAAATAGGTCTGAGCATGGCCCGAAGTTTAGACCACGTGTGCAAGGACCAAACAAATCCTCAACTCACCGCCTAATGTCATATGGTCACACAAACAATGCATTACACTACCCCTCTCTTATTTTAAACGACGTTATCAGTGCTCCCTTTGCTACATCTTCCGCGCCAACCATCACAACATATTTGGAACTGTAATAAAGCACCCACCAACCAGCCGCACCAGTCGACAGCTACCATTGGACTGAGGAACCGTACTTGGTCTCCTCGGCAGCTTCAATTGGATCTGGAATTACGTTCGGTGTGACAACCAGTTTCGGGACCGCGTACACCTGTTAACCATCAATTGCTTCCACGACTAGACGGTGGAACTCTGGTCTACAACATATATGTTACGAGGGAAACGGTGCTAGCCACTTTCCCTTATGTAAGGAGGACCGTTGTGTCATTTGCGACAACCATACACGGATTTAGTAGGGGAATTTCCGACACGAAACGTTTCCAGATGGTTCACGGCGATGTCGCTTCAGTTGTTAGTAACTTGTCTGTGAAACATGGGAGTAAGTGGAACCAAATGCAGACGTCTGTCTAGATCCTTTCGTTGTGAGGGATTGGGGGATCCTCCAGCCACCGCTGTAAATGCGTCTCCTCCAGACCGTAGGTACATGCAACGAAAGGTACGTGCTAGGATAGAGGTGGTAAAAGAAGTGCCGGGTTAACTTTCCGCTGTCACCAGTGTAGCGTTCGGAGACTTCCCATAGGGTGGAAGAAGGCAGCAAGTGAGGCTGGATACATGTACGCTGAAGAGAACGAAGCGACAAGTCCTGACCATGGCCTGAAGTCAGACCAATCCTGAAGTGATCGCCAAGTTTCATCTTTTCTTACAAACAACCTATTTCAGAAGGAGATAACAACGACTGAATACACTTATTCGACAGATAACAGAGTGATTAAGTCTGATCGTGGCTCAAAGGCTAGACACGGGTACATGCAAGATACAAAACTTAAAGCGACCTCGAAACGTCATGTGGTCACCTAAATCCAACGGAATATCAGGACTAAAAGAAATTGAAAGCAGTTTGTACGATCACCCGATAGCTGGCATTCTTTTTTGGTACTCGTCTTAAACTTTTGGGTATGGCTGAACTTCGGACTAAGTCGATGCTAAATACTTTCACAGTTCTGCTAGTGCAGGATTTGCATCCGTTTTAAAACATTTTAAGGCGTTAAAATTACACTTCTTGCAACCAAATCGTTAGTCTTAAAAGGGTTGGTTTTCATTTTTGCCTCGTTTCTTCAGTACACTTGTAGCGTTCCGAGACATTTTACTGAGTGGGAGAAGGCACTATGCAAAGCTGGATACATGTATTTCAAGGAGAAGAATGCAAATTGGACTGAGCATGAACCGAAAGCCAGCCCACGATCATACGACCCAACAAATCCTAAGGTGACTGCCAACCATCAGGTAGTTGCATGAACAACATTACGGCACCTAATAATTTTTGAAAACCCCACCCGTAACACTGCACTCCTTTTGGAATCATGGCTTTGCACAGGCGATCATAGTCCTATAATATATTAGAACTTATTATTTGAGTACTGTTTTAAAACACTACAAGAAACTAAAATCACATCGTATTGTCTTTTAAACCTTAGACTTAAAAATTCACAATCTAATACACACTATATGGATCTTCAACGTGATTATGATGAAATTTGACGGTATTTTTTGGTTATTTCATTTCGCCAAGGTTCCATTTTGGCGGTTGGTATTGTCTCCAATTAGTGCTTGCCGTTGTAGGTGCTGCAAATAGCGTACGTCTCCCCAATCACGGACGTTTGCCTATTTTGATGATGGAAAGGCTGGATGCTAGTGTCAGTTGGTTATTCTACCCATTTAAAAAATTACAGTACTTTGTGTATTATTTGTGCTTTGCAGTTTTATGATTCTTGAATGGAATTTCCAGTTGACAACTCTACGCCATTCAGTTTACGTTGCTTACCAGCCCTTTCTCTAGATTTGTTTAAGGCCAGCTTTAAATGCTTCATGTTATTAGTTTTACACTGTAACATTGCTTAAATGTGGACAGTTGTTGAAAGATTATCCTCTGTTGTGATTAGTTTAGTTCTATTGCACTAACCTTGTAGAACTTGCAAACTTTTCAGTTTCAGCAACTGAAAATAAATGAAACTCCTCAGGGTTTTGGAGATGGACCACTTTACTTTCATGTTGGCAATCAATATATCAGCAAGTCGTTTAATCATCCTCAAAATCAGGTCAAACGTGGGACGCCTCCACGATTTGGCCGATTTCAATCGGATATTCCGTCTCAGCAACAGCCTTTTAATGGATATTCTTATGTGACTCCCTGGTTTATGTCCACGGCACCCAGCGGCACGAGCAAACTCTCTGACGGAATTGGTATCTTTGGCGCGCCGCCTGAAAACGGTAGATTCGATCATTTACACGCCAATAATCGTGGGTATCAACGTCGACCTTATCGTCTCAATAATAATAGCAATGCCTCTTATAACGGGCGTACAAATAGCCATTCCTCAGGATCCTGGGATTTTTCCTTTAAAACCGAAGAGGAGCTTTTCTGTAACAGTTCACCCAGAGCTGATATCAACTTAGAACTCTATGATAGTATTCCAGTAAAACAATCCGGACCAGATTGGACTGCTGTCGATCCACTGACGTCGTTTAATGATGTGAAATTGCATAAAGTCCTTGTGGATAACATTGAGCGTGCTAGGTATGTTCACCCAACGCCGGTGCAGAAATACGCCCTTAAAATTGTGCTGGCGAAGCGGGATCTTATGGCCTGTGCCCAGACGGGTTCCGGAAAGACGGCCGCCTTCTTACTACCTCTTCTTCATATGATGCTTGAGAGTAGCTCAAAGGGAGGCGAAAAGGGAGATGACTCTGTAAGTGTTGCGTCTGATAGAATATGTGAGGAGTCGAATTTCATTTTTCGCGGAATTGAAGTTGTCGTTTTTTTAAGGGAAGTATGCACTGCTCTGTCATGTAAGCACTTGAACGTGGCATCTGGATTTGCTATGCTGACATTAAATAAGTGCCTTATTTTGGTGTCTGTTTAGAAACGAAGTGCTATTTTTAGATGTTTTGGATTGTTGTTTTTGTTGTCATCAGTGTCGATAAATGTCCTCTGATCTGCGTTTGTGTGCTGCTCTGGCCTCGATTTCAGTCACAATTTCTATGCGTAACTATGATTTAGCTTTCTTGGTAACTCGTGCTCCTGTAGATTCTGTTTTTGTCTTAGAATCAATATAGAGTTTGCATATTTGTCATTTTGTATTTTGGGCATCTGGTTGTCATAGCCCTCACATCACAAAACCTTTCACTAACTCATCCTTCTTTGTTTAAGAGTTTAGGTTCGAGCTCGGTCACCAGGTTTATGTCGGTGCAAGGGTTAATTATTAAAAGTTCTCTCCTACCCCATTTGTTCGTTTTAATGTATTAGGAAATTTATTGAATTTACTACCAACCTTTTCGTAAGCTCTGGATTACTCCTCCTATCTTTGGCAGAGCATCACACTATACACTGTTGTTTTTTGTCTCTAAATTCTTATTTCATTTCGATACATTGTAACAACTTTCATAATCTTATGCTTTCGATTGACACAGGCTTTGCGGTTTTATTGCATATGGGCTTGATTGCTCACCATGGTAGCATTATCCCGCGTAAATATTTGACCTGGCTCTGTGTTGATTCACGTCAATTACACAACCTCGTACTCAAATGTCGTTGACTTCAATTGGAACATTTAGGTTATCGAAATGAAGCTTCCACGCGGCAGTTCTGGTCCGATTTTCGCCTGTTGAAGTCCAAATGGTGGATATCACTGTGCAGTTTGCGTATACTTCATTTTAGAAGGTGAAAGGAAATCAATCTGCACAGACGAGCGTGGCTAGTCCGACCTGCCTAATTCTTGCACCCACGCGAGAGCTCTCTTGCCAGATATTTGACGAGGCTCGTCGGTTTGCCTACCGTTCAGAATTGAAGCCCTGCGTTGTCTACGGTGGTGCTCCCGTAAACAATCAATTGCGCGATCTTTCACGAGGCTGTGATCTTCTCGTCGCCACCCCCGGCCGTCTCGTCGATGTAATTGGGAGGGAGAAGGTCACACTAGAGAATGTCAAGTAAGGTTATCGTTTTATACGTACAGATATGGTCGTATGCAAAGAAGTAAAATGCCTCCTTTATCTTCCCTGCACCCAAAATTGAATTGTGGTGTCATTTTGGCTCGATTTTAGGTTGTCATTTTCGTATTTGCACTTTGAAATCCTTATTTTAGAATAAACTCAACATTTACATTAAAACATAGCTTACGTTAGCAGTTATTTTGACTTTCATAGTTTTTGACTGGAGCTATTGAAATAGGCAAATGGAATTTGCAAATGCATAATCGCGATTAAAATCTTGTCTGCAGCATTAAGTATCCTTAAGGACCTAGTCACGTGCCAACGCGGTCTACTTTTTTGCATAATTTGAACGTGGTCTACACCCCTTCATCCCTCTCCCCATCCTCCCAAACGTTGAATGCTCTGAAGATTGGAGCAATGGACGTTTTTTTGTGTTAATTCAAATTTAGATTTCTTGTCTTGGACGAGGCGGATCGTATGCTTGATATGGGGTTTGAGCCACAGATTCGCAAGATTGTCGAGCAGAATGGAATGCCCGACTCAAGCCAGCGGCAGACTCTTATGTTTTCTGCCACATTTCCAAATGAAATACAAGTTAGTCAGAATTTTGTAGCTATTCCCTTCTGTACGACTTGTGAACTTATTTTTTTCCCGATTTTCATGCCATGAACTAGGTCAATTCGAAATTATTTTACGTTTTCAATCCCATCTTTACTGAGCCAAATCTATTCATCCTGCAAGCTTGGATTCACTTTATTTCGATATGCATACTTTTCCCATCGGACCGGCCGGAGGAAGGGGTAGATTTTTTGGTTCACTTGCATGATGACGCCTCAATTTTCTCTTTGATCGTTTTGTCTGACCTTCGTTGTCGTGAAGCAGTTAAATTAACTCCCATGTGGAGGGGATGAATGAAAGAATAACGTTTTAGAGCGTCAGGTGGCCCTTTTATTTATTATAGCACATGGGGCTTAAAGCTCAGGCGAATGAGGAACGCCTTTTTTCCTTTTTGTTGTTGAAAAAGCAGACAAATGGTGCTTTCTCAGTGAAATCTTCAGTCCGGCATTGAAGTTAGTAATGGAATGGCAATTTATTATTATATTTCTGGTAGATAATAGTTTGGAAACCTAATAATTCAGCACTACACTCCATCTTCATAGTGGAATACTGAGACGATGGAAATCGGTCACCGTCCTAGCCTTTCACTAACATCAATAAAGATTCTTTAGCCTCTTGTTCCGTGAAGTAGAATGTTTAGGGTCTCTTGCTTGGCATACAGTACTAAGTTTTGGCATTCTTATGCAGGAGTTCTGTGAATAGAACCACTTTGTTCTCATTCACATCAATTATCATCATTGAACGCCACTTGTTGTTAGCAGAATCCTTCATTTAATCACTAGGCTTGTGCACATGTTTGCACCTACGGTTATTCACATTTTCTATTTGCTCAACGTAGATCTGGCTCTCCGTCTTTGGAATGCTGTTATTATTCCTGTTTGGCATTTGATGCCTTTACACAGCAAGCACTGCATTTTGCTATAGACCTTGGCAAAGGACTTCTTGAAAAACTACATTTTCTTGGCCGTGGGACGTGTGGGCAGCACTAGCGAAAATATATCCCAAGAAATCTTCTACATACAAGACAGGGATAAACCCGAACGTCTTGTTCGTATTCTCAAGGAAAAGGGTAAGGAGAACCAATAGTACATTTGTTTGAATGCCCCTTTTTCTTTCACATTGAGCATCTCATTTGGAGTGTTCACTGTTCTCCCCATATTTCTAAGTCTAACTCTCTCCTTCATTAACAAATCTGCCCCACAATCTTGCGTTAGCGGTTGTCGTAGCACTAATGATGGAGTAGGCTGTGATGAGTCCTACACCAAATCGTCGAAGCTGATGGTGGTTTATTGAATGCTAACGCTTAGGTGGAATGATGCCACGATCCGCAATGAATCATCAGCGCTGGGGCGCTTCAGGCTCCGGTGGCAACAACATGGGTGGTATACGCCATTCTGCCAATTATGTGCAGGTGCATGGGCGAGATGTAGATAAAATAAATCTGACGCAAAATTAGATGCATTCAGTGGTGTGATCTGTGGGATAGGTCTCCAGCACCCGTCGATGCTCTGGCATTAGGGAGAGATTTTAGATACAAGTTCTCAATCTTGTGAAGTTGAAGGTTCCGCTCTTTACCACTTATTTATGGAGGGTTTGTTAACGAGTTCGGAGGGGTTTTTTCCTCCTGTCTGTTGCCTTCGTTTATTGTACTTTCGATCACTTTTAGACAGGTAAATATTTCTCATTTGTGCACTAATCTATTTTCCTGCCTAGAGCCGGCAGCGCTTACTTTGGTCTTTGTGGAAACCAAAAAAGGTGCCGATTTGCTGGCAAACTATCTAAGCCGGCTTCAATTTCCTGTTGCCGCGATTCATGGTGATCGGCCTCAGGCTGATAGGGAGAGGGCTCTCTCTTCGTTCCGTTCCGGTAGAACTCCCGTCCTCATTGCAACTGCAGTCGCTGCTCGTGGTCTTGATATTCCCAATGTTAAGGTGGCTATTACTTTTCTCTCTTATCCATTTTGCCATCATCGATGGCAATCCCTGACTTGCAGACTTATTCTTTGCTGCACTTCAATGCGTCTCTTGACAATTCAAATATTCTGGAAACTTTGATCACCTACCCAGTCGATCCTAGCCACTAAGATAAGATTATGGCCCACTTTGGTCTCCCCTTTCCGCAGATTTGTTGAACGCAAATTTTTTTTTTTGCTTTGCGCCTTGAAGGACATCCCTTTGCTACAGGTTAGTGACCGCATTGCCACAGCAGACGACCAATGAAGGAGAACTTAGCATGGCGGTTTTGCTGTTTTTCTACCAGACCAGTTTTATCTATTATTGTGATCAATCAGCCGTTTAAAATATGATGCAGTTGCTTCCAAGTGTCGTTTTCACTTTTTTTCGGCTGAGCAGCCTGAAAACAATATTCTTACAGTAATTTGCTTGGCTCTCCATTTTTGCCGCTCATGTTGTTTTGCGATGGTTTTGTTCAAGCGTCAACTTTAGCAGTTAGGTTGAGCCTTCACACTGTTGATAGTAACTGCTGTTTACTTACTCTTTTCTGGAAGACAGAGCATGCGCAATTTTTTGGTAATGGATGGCTTACAATTCAAATGTTAATCCATTCACCATGAACAGCCTACTCGTTTGATTACTCATCCGGTCGACTGTTTAGCTAAAGTGGCTTTGGTGAGTCACAAAGGGCACAAGACACTGTTCTTCGTTCGGAGAGCATTGTTACGTGGCCATTCCGTTGTTTACTTCTTTTAATGTTCATAGCACGTAATCAACTTTGACCTGCCGTCGGACATAGAGGAGTATGTACACCGCATTGGCCGCACTGGCCGTATGGGTCAGCCGGGCTCGGCCACTTCCTTCTTCTGTGACCGCAATCAGAATGTAGCCCACCAGCTGGTTGAACTATTACGTGAAGCCAAGCAACCAGTGCCCATTTGGCTGGATCAACGTGTGTCTGGTACTACTGCAGGCAGCAACTCTCTCGGCTCCAATGGTCGACGTTATGGCAATGGCACTCCGAATAGAAGGTTAGTCTCTCACCACCTCTGTGTACACATATAACCAATATCTGATGCTCTCGGTTATTTATGTAGCTTCGTGCTAGGTTTGAATTACATATATACGTTGATATTGGCGCCAAGGCTTATTTTTCCTTTTTCACAGTAAATCAAGTGGCCAGCTAAATCCAATAAATGCATGTTTTCCAATTCCTCGGTTTCGGTAAACTTTTTGTTTAGATTTGCAATGGCTCCCAGCCATTCTCACTAAATGTCTATTTTCTCTTTTCCTGATGCTTTCAGGGTTTTAAAGTTCATCCTTTTTGGTCATATCTTTGGTATTTTTCTGGGATAGTTGCATCCGTCACAATAATCCTGCCGTCATTCTGAGTCATCAAGTCTTCTATTTGTGTGCCCTGAACGGTGTGCAGGTCATACGCTCCTGAATTTTCTGTGACTCAGCAAGCAATTAAAGATTTATGGCTTTAGACAGTTGGGCTTCCTTTTTTTTCACTGTAGGAGTGGTGGTTATCGGCCTAACTACGCATCTCTTGACTTCCGAACTGGTCAGAAAACCAACACCAGCTACGTGCAAAATCCGCAAACCCTAGGCCTTTTAGGGAATTGTGCGGCTTCTCTTGCTGCAGCGGCTTGTGTTCCACCACCGCCGGGTCACCAATTGCGCTACCAACAGCCGCCTCCGCATCAAAATCCTTTTGCCACTGCTGCAGCTGTTGCAGCTCTGCAGGGCCTTCAACAAGGTCATCCGTTTGGTCCGCCTCCACCACCACGAGGCCTTTTCGATGCGCGCCCACCGTCCTCGTATCCTCCACCGCCGTTTGGTGCACCTCAGCGGTCCAGTGGACCCCCGGCACCGCCATCACTGATGCAACAGCCTGCATCAGCTGGTCCGCCTCCTGCGGCCAACCCGCAGCAACAGATGCATCAGTACCTCGCGGCTATGCAACACGTCGCTAGCACTGCTAGTTCATCTTCTGAGTATGCTGCTGCTAACTACCATCAAGCATTTGCGGGGTACGCTCCTCCACCACCACCGCCACAACCACAAGACGTATTCACAGCATCTTCGCCTCCTGTGAAGGCGTCTAGCAGTGCTGAAGGTCAAATAATGTCTTCAGCCTTCTATGGAAGCTCTGGCTCGCATCACCACCACCATCAGCAGCAGCCAAATCACGCAGCTCTAGCTGCAGCAATGTCAGCAATGGCTGCGGCTGCTATGTCGAATGGGCAAATAGAGGGGCCTAGTGCTATGGAGGAGGATAAGCGAGTAGCCTCTGCCGCCGTTGGCGGAGGTGGAGGAGAGTGGTGGGTGAGTGCTCCTCCACCAAACATCTCGGCCTACCCTCCGTCTACGAATGTACCTCAGCCCGCGGCTACCGCAAACTAGGTTCTGTCTTCAGACTTCATAACCATGAAATCGTCTTTTTTACCTCCACTTACATTCATCTATCCATCGACCCTATCCGTGTCATTAAATTGTTGTTTTTTGTTAGTCGACCCCACCTCACTAGGCCGTAGCGCACGAATAGTCCGTACGGGTTGGAGCTGCGGGAAGGAAACACAGTTGGATTATTTTGGTACATTTGCCGCACGCATGTAGAGCAATGTGTGTGAGTGGGCGCGTGTGTGTGTGTGTACATGTATGTGTGCTTGTGTGTGTGTGACAGATGCTACTGCGACAATAACGATGGCCCACGCTTCACGCTGTACATATTAACTTCGTCTTCTTAAATTCGATTCTCTACATGCCTCGATTTTGTACACGTGCGTGTGTGCATGTGTGCGCTGGAATATTGTACAGAGGAATGTTGTTGCGCAGCAGAGACTAAAGAAACGCAAGTCTCAAAAATGCTTGCTTTTTGTACAACCACATCATCATGTCTACGGTTGGTCTTTTTGCTTATACTTTCTTTATTGCATTTTATTGCAATTTATCGGATCGAATACACCACCACTCTGGCCATATGCGCCGACTTTGACTCACCTCTACGCGCTGCTTACTCCCACCCCTTTCCTCTACCATCCCTTCTAACTCATGTGTCTTCGTTCTTGTCGAATCGTATATCGCTCCTCATTTTCCTCTGTTTACCTTATCTAATTAGACGACACCACGTTCTGAATTGTTTGCTCTATGTGCACTGAATAACAATTTTCTCTGTACCTGTTCAAAAGGAGTAACACTCGGGCAAATCTTTAGTTCCCTCCTCTTCTATCAACACTTTGTTTGCACATATGCATGCTTATCTGCAAATCGTCAAATACAGGGAAGTACATCGATGTGGTGGCTTCATACGACTCTGAACGTAAAGGCAATAACCTCCCTCAAGCAGTGCATCTGCAGTCCACAGTCGGACTAGGCTTAGGGTCTGGGTGGCGGGTTGGTTGCTGTGATCGAGTGACTTATTTTGTATAGAGATTTATCTATTTTGGGGTAAGTTTAACGATGCAGCTGTTGGTGTTCATCTAGTGGATTTGACACGGATTCGTCAGTCTAGTATTAGCATTCCTCACTGCAAATTTGTGTCGTTGCGAAATATGAAGGATCTTGTGTTACTGAAAAGAAGTGGCGGAGGTGACGATGACGATCGTACTCTTCTCTGTGCATATGTGTGCACAGCCAAGCCATGTCTAATAGTATCGGGCAGCCAACGGTGGATTCGATTTTGAGACGTTCTCTGGCTTTATTTTCAACCATTGTGGAAGAATTTTGTAGCCCGAAAGAAGTGAATATCGTACAGATGGGTTGACCACCGATGAAGTCTGCCTTCGGCATCTGCCATATTCTTTTGCTCCACGAGGGAGCCATCAATAGCAGGAGTTTCTACTACGATACATGCATATAGATTAGTTGATGTGGAGTTGAACGAAACATCCTCCACACAGGACTGTGTTGGGGTCGTACTCCTTACCACAAATCGTTCCAACATCTATCCCTGACCACGCATAATAATCACTAGTAGTACCAGGCCCTAAGCCCGTTTGTAAGTCCAACGATACCTTAGATGCAGTTGAAACTGCTGTGAGGGCTAGGTGACGTTGAGGTCAAGTACCTTACCTCGGTCACGGGAACGTTGATGACCTGTGCGGCTGGTACATGGGTGTAGTTTTGAAACGCCGGTTCCTGTGTCACAGCTAACGTGGTAGGGTTGTCGAGGTTTTACAGAAAATGTAGCTAAAAAGAAGAGGAAAGCAAAATAACATCGATTGCCAGGTCAGTGGTTATGACAGAAACTAATCGATTGGCGCGTAGTCTGACCTTCAAGTCATTGCCAGGCGAAAAAACCCCATTTCTGTCTAAATATATTCATTCAGGCAAGAGTCAGGCTTACCATTGCCTGCTTGAAGACCTCAAGATGCAATAAAAGATCAAATCACGCACCACCGATGAAAGGAGTAAAGAGCAAGGATAATTGGGTTAGGGGTTCTGTTCCAAGCGCGGTGATCATCGAAGTGGAGGCAATATGTTGCTTTAGCAGATAAGGTAATTAAAAATTTATTTGATTATAGTGTAATGCTTTGTTTGTATGATCAGTTGACATTTGGCGATCACTTCAGGATTGGTCTGATCCTTGTGCGTGTGGGCTAGACTTCAGGCCATGGTCAGGACTTGCCGCTTCGTTTTCTTCAGCGTACATGTATCCAGCCTCACTTGCTGCCTTCTTCCACCCTATGGGAAGTCTCAGAACGCTACACTGGTGACAGCACGTACCTTTCGTTGCATGTACCTACGGTCTGGAGGAGACGCATTTACAGCGGTGGCTGGAGAATCCCCCAACCCCTCCCAACGAAAGGATCTAGACAGACGTCTGCATTTGGTTTCACTTACTCCCAGGTTTCACAGACAAGTTATTAACAACTGAAGCGACATCGCCGTGAACCATCTGGAAACGTTTCGTGTCGGAAGTTCCCCTACTAAATCCGTGTATGGTTGTCGCAAATGACACAACGGTCCTCCTTACATAAGGGAAAGTGGCTAGCACCGTTTCCCTTCTAACACATATGTTGTAGACCAGAGTTCCACCGTCTAGTCGTGGAAACAATTGATAGTTAACAGGTGTACGCGACCCCGAAACTGGTTGTCACACCGAACGTAATTCCAGATCCAATTGAAGCTACCGAGGAGACCAAGTACGGTTCCTCGGTCCAATGGTAGCTGTCGACTGGTGCGGCTGGTTGGTGGGTGCTTTATTACAGTTCCAAATA